CCCCCCTACCCCTCCACGGGAGCTCGATTCTTGATTACTCATACCGACTGAATAGGCTGTTTCAGACGTGCTCTGTCGTTGTTCAAACATATCTTATCTCTGTGTACATAAATGGAGTTCCACGTATGTAGCTGACAGACTGAACTATGATACATCCCCCATCAACCTGAAGTATTAAGTAAACATTACCCCCTGCTCTGTCTGAACAGCTGCTGCACCAGAGTGCTTTTATTTCGGGCGTACTTGTAACGCCCTAAATGCCAGAACTATTGCAAGCTTTTCTAGATTTTTCATTTTGTGAAGGATTGTGGGGGTGTGTGTTCCTTCCCTGGGCTGTTACCCCTTGGTTCTCTAACGAACCCTTTAGAAGCTTGGTGGGATGTTCTGGTGCCTGCCTCTGGTCAGCTAGCCTTTGACTGGACCCTAGGGGTGATTTGTGTCCTTAAGCAATTGTAGGTTGCCCCAGGAATGACAGGTTTGGCAATCAAGTGAAATTAGCTCTCCCTCTTTTGCACGGTTTTGTAAAACAGCTCTTCTAAGCTAGCCCAACGGTGTTTATTGCTCCTGTTTCTGAAACCTATTCATTTCTTTTAAGCTTCTATCGCCTACCTGTCAGGCTATTGATGATAGGTGTTGAGTCACTTTGAGTTTAAAATCCTTTTGTGGCAGCAGAGCAGTGTTGGGTACTATCCATAGACATGCACACTCACTCGCACATTCCACCCTTTCCAGTGTGGAAGGCTGTAGAAAATTAAGCTCCATTTCTTAATCTCTTGAAAGTGTCTACAGCCCACACACCTCCATTCTGCCCCCTGCTCCCTAATATAAACTACAAAACATGTAGCAATAGGAATGGATGGAAGTAAATGAGAAAAACAAAGTCCTCAGTGAAAGCCTTTCTTGGGTGGGCTGCACCTCAGTTCTGCAATTCTCTGTGTGGGTGCCTTGTATTTAGTCAGTATTGATGTCCAACCTAGGCAATGCCAGTCAAGTCTCCCTGAATGCTGGCTTGAGGGTGAGGGTGGGGTGGGGTTGTCACCTTGGGCATTTGCCAAGTGTGACTGACAGGTGCACACTTAGGACAGAAGATTCTTCAATTGCTTCTAAAGAACACAATCAGCTCTCTGAATGTTGCCAAAATTCATATAATTAGACAATATGGTGAAGTTGTGTAAAAAGGAAGAAATTTAAGCTGCACCAATTTTTCTGCTGCAAGGGCCCTAAGTTATCTGGCCACATCATAAGGGCTGTGTAAAATATATCTGTAGGTATGAATTTAAGCCAAGAATTGCAAATTATGTAGGAACTGGAGAGGTAACATGGCTGTTTCATTGGATTGATTTTTAAGATAATAGTGTCAGGGACATTACAGGTGAGTGTATGTGTCACACAAAACTCTCAGGTCTTTGATGATCAATCTCTTTTTTATAAATAGAAAGTATTTGGTCAAAGTCAAAGCTGGTGGGAACAGAGCTGGAACTAAAATTCAGATCTCTCTTTCTGGCTGGGGCTCTAAAAGCTGATTTGCTCTTAGACTAGCCAATAATGGAATATAAAGTGTTTCAGGCTTATAAGGGATTCATTTCATTATCCATTGCTATGTTATCCTGATAATTACAGGTTGTGTCAAAGCTCAGGTGTGAAGTTTATGGGCAGGAATGAGCAGTGAAAGACAGACTTGGGATGTTTCCTCCTCTAATGTTTCACATTTTCTAGCATTACACATTTTCAGAAATCAGCTATTAATTGGTGAATAATTTCTCTCTCTCTCTAGTGTACTGGTCTCACTTATCTGGAAGACCATGGGGAAGGCCTTGGCAGTCAAGCCAGGCCCTGCTTCCTGGATTTTATCAAGCTACTGTTGGCAGCCACCCGTGAGGTGGTTGAGAAGTCTGTACCTGTTTTACACCTGTTTCTGCTTCAGTACTATGCCATTGCCAACAGGTACGGTTTTCTCGATAGATTTAAGCTTGGAAAGAAAGAAAAAGGTGTTCTGTGTATGAGTCTGTTCATGTGAAAGACTTTCTGAAAGTCCTATTTTCTTGTCAGTTCTTTGGTTGGCTTTATTCCTTTGAGAGTGTGGAGTGTGAGCAAGCAGCCATGAGAAAACCTTCTCAGCATGCTACCGTCCTGGGCAGACACACAATATGGCCCTCCTTTTGGTGGACACTTAGTTTGCTAGGATTTATTTGTTTTCATCTGGGACAAAAGATTAAGTTTAATTCTTTTTTATCAAGAAGAATCAGCAGGATCGTATTGAGGTTTGGTGAAGGCATAATGAAAAGAACAGAGGAGGATGGAGAGCTGGGAATGGGAGGGGAAACAGAATGCCGTGAAGCTCATTGAGATGCGTGAACAACTGCATCTCTTGCCACGAGACCAGAACTGAACATTTTGTTCAAAGAGTCCATAGAAGAATCCTGATCAAAAGGGAGAAAATGCAGAACAGAATTTCAGATTCTCATGGACCCCAGACTTTCTGAAGCCGTAGTGGATAGGTGTTCTGAGATAATCTTTAAAATTGAACCAAAAATGAATTAATCTTAAAACTTGAGCATATTACTCTTTATAGACGTATATAAGTGGGATTAAATTGGCAGAATATAATCAGTGCCACTTAATTGTACATGGAGAAACTGTTGAATTGGTGTATGTTTAGCTGTGTATATTCTCAACAGAGAATATGTAAATGTAACAAATGTAAAAATTACATATTTTTTTATTTTAAGGAAGGATAATATCTATCTCCCTTGTAGCTTAATTTATAGGATAGTGTAATTAAAGTGTGCAGTACAACACTGTGCAAAAGAAGTGCTTTGTCAGTGGTACTTTGCTCCCTACCCTTTCTCCTTCCCCTTCTGTTCAGAATCTGCACTCGCAGGGAGGATGTGTTCTTTGTTTTTCCACAGAAAGGGGCCATGCTGGTTGATTTCATAAGGTGTGCTTTCCTCCTATGGATTATTTCATCAGTCTAGAGCCTCTTGCCAGGAAACCATGCCAAGAAGGCTACATTTCAAGAGAACTCTCTTTCTTTCTTTCTTACTTCCTGTCGGTTCTTTTGTTGGCATTGTTCCTTTTCAGAGTTCCGATTGTGAGAACACAGCGATTTGAGAAAGACTTCTGTGTATGCTGCCGTTCAGGGCAGTAACCGAGAGGCCTTTGCTGTGGAGAGCTCTGTTGGGGATAATCATAATCAGACTTTTGCTCCTATAACTGTGAAAGTTTCTGTTGTTGTTTTGTCCCCAAAGGAATTGGTGGCCATGATCTTGAAAATCAAGTAATTACTGTATTTAGCAATTTCGGTAACATCAGCTTTGGTGTTTTTGTTGTCCTGCAGTGGTGGTTGGTGATTACATAATTATAGCAGTTGGAATTGCAATTGACAGAGAGCTGACCTAAATGTGTTTATGCCAGATGATGTTTTGCTAGGACAGCTGACTACTGCAGGCCAATATTTTTTGGGTAAGATAATTTGAATTAAATAAGTAACTGACTTCGCACCACCAGTATCAGAAAATTTCATTTCTGAAGTGGACCACATACTGAGCTTCTAGCTCTAAACATTACATATTTTACCTCATTTAATCTTCAAAAGAATCCGAAAACACATAGTTTTATTCTCATTTTATAGATGAGGAAATCGAGGCCCAGAGAGGCCACACAGTAAGGACATGACAGGGCAGGAATCTACGCCCAGGGTCGTCAGCTCTAAAGCTCATGCTTTCTTTTCTGCTTCTCTGCTTTCCACCCACTGCTGGTCTTTTTTTTGGAGGACCAAAGACAGTTGTTGTTTTTTACCTGGACCATTATAGGAAGCTTGTTATTTGAGAGATTCAAAGTGGGTGGGTGGGGTAGTGGCAATGCTGAGTCTTTCTAAATTTTCCAATCTAGTGCTTGGTTAAATAGCATTGTGGTTTCATTGGACTTCATCAAACTCGTGAGTCCCCACGGCTAATCTTTACTTGATGCATATAAACAGGACTCTGGTGAGAAGATTGATTATAAAAATGCAAACGTTGTTAGGAGTGCTAGTGGGGATTAGATTGTACTCTTTCCATTTTAGAAAAGTTTGGGTAGGTGGAGGGAGACATCGATTGGTGTAAGACATGAAAAAATAATAATTTATAAATTATCAAGGGTTCGTGAGGGAAGGTGGTTGGGGGGCAGGAGGGGAAAATGAGCTGATACCAAGGGCTCAAGTAGAAAGAAAATGTTTTGAAAATGATGATGGCAACAAATGTACAAATGTGCTTGACACAATGGATGGATGTATGGATTGTGATAAGAGCTGTACGAGCCCCCAAAAAAATGATTAAAAAAAAAAAAGCTTGGAGCTTTTAACATGGAAGTAGATCAAACTGAAATAATAGATAAGTTTGTTGTGTATTTTAATCTTTGGTAGCTCTTTCAAGCCCATTTTTCAAAAACCTGCAGTGCGCTTTATTGTTTTTATATGGACTTTCTTGACATAGTCTTATAACTCACAACAAATGATCAAATCAAAAAACCTCTGCCATCAAGTAGATTCCAACTCATAGTGACATTATAGGGCAGGGTAGAGCTGCCCTCGTAGGGTTTCTGAGACTGTAAATCTCTACAGAAGTAGAATGCCTCGATTTCTGCTAGCTGGTGGTTTCAAATTGCTCATTTTATAGTTAGCAACCCAATGAGTAGCCCACTACACCACCAGGACTCCTAACTACACACTAGGGCTTCTTAATGATTGGATGGGACTATGCAAATAAGGTGCTTATGACCCCACAAAAGGGATTGAACAGCTTGCTAATAATGCAAATGAAGTGTACAGTACCCATGTGAGGGTGGAACCAGGCAAGTAAGGTGTATGGAACCCTCATGAGGGAATTGGTCAATTTTGTCATCCTGCTAGGCTTCAAATGAGCTATTCAGGGGCTTATGGAAATGGAGCAGGGGATTGGGTGGAAAGGGAATCTCATAAGTACCAAGAAGAGATGGCAATAGAGCAAGCACACCTTTGAACCCAGGATCCCTGTGCTAAAAACTTCCTCTACCCAGGAAGTATATGAGGGAGTAACCCCCCTCAAAAAAAAAAAAAAAAACCTGGAAAAATTTCCCCCAAAGCTATCTATTTAAAAACATTAAAAAAAAAATAACCTTATCACTTTCAAAGAACTCTCCATTACACTTAATACATTTGTCAAATCTGCGATTCCATTCTTGGAAACATTTTTCAAACTCATCTGTTTAGATGGCTGACAGCACCTCCCTTTGTTTTTTTCTTCACCTCTTCTACGTCATCAAATCACCGTCCTTTCGTGTCTCTCTTCACTCTTGGAAGCAAAAGGAAGTTACACAGAGCAAGGTCAAGTGAGTCAGGTACATGGGGCAAGAGAGGCATGCTGAGTTTTTTTTTGGCCTAAAACTGGCACACTGAGATGGCTGTATGAGCAGGTGCATTGTTGTGGCAAAACCAGTCTCCTGTCTGCCACAAATAGTGTGGCACACCACTATGCAATCTTTTTAGAATCTCTAAATATAAAGCTTGATTAACAGTCTGACCTGGTGGAATGAACTCCAAATGCACTACGATTCAACATTTTTGTGTCTTTGGGAAGTTGCCGGATGTCCAGAAGGAGGGTTATCATCAATTGACATTTCACCTTTTTTGAAATGAGAAAACCACTTATACACTGGAGTTTTTCCCATAGCACTGTCCTTGTAAGCTGTGTTCAATATCGCAACAGTTTCTGCAGCAAAATTTCACAGCCATAAGCTGTTCTTGCAAATCAGCTATCACAAAAAAACAAAGTTCAAGCAAAATTGCTTTTACGAAAGAATTGTGACCAGAGAGAACCTTCCCAGGCGACACCACTGGGTGCAGTAACTCAGAGCAAGTTGCTTGATGCTCACCTAGTGGGAAAAATGCATACTATGAAAGTTCCATTTAGCAGAGCTTTTCCATTTTTTGGAGGGTACCCCTCGTATATGGAGTGAGCTGCAAATGCTGGAGATAACAAGAGACAGAGAGAAGCAGCAGCAGAGAAATGATGGCAGCAAAATTAGGAGACTGGCAAGAGCCAATGTGTTGGGTGTCTTGGCTCATGAAGCAAGACAGTTGAGAACCTTTGGGCAGGAGGCTTATTGAAAGAGTAGGGTGCCTCTTGGTGGAGTTAGGTTTGCTGACCCTAGAGCTAGAGTTGGAGCTGAGCCACTTCCTGAGTGCCTCTGGGCACTCTGGGCTGACCAGCCAAGGCCACAGAGAAGAATTTATCCTGATTAAAGAACTCTTTTTTTTTTTTTTTTAAAGAACTCTTTTTTAAGCATTCCTGAACCTGAATTATTACCTGTTACTTTCCTAATACACCTTACAGCCATAATCATGACTAATGTCTCTGAGTTCTCTGTGATCATTGCACAAAATTATTGAACCTAACAGAGAATCAGGGAGTGTCCTGGGAGAAATGATTGGTGTCAAAATTAGTAACAAGATTGGAGAGTGGAGGCATATCTGACTTCTGCTTCAGCTTTGATCTGTTGCAGAAAATGGCCCTCTCTCCTCCTCTTGAAGTTCAATGAAGAGGTCAGATGCTTCTACCATGCCATTCTTTCAAAAGCACTATCCTAATAGAAAAAAAAAAGTTGGTAAAGGAAGTGAAGAAATGGTTCTATAAATAAAAAATTATAATGTTTATGAACAGATTTATTAAAAAATTTTATTGTTAATTGGGTGGATATTTATTGCACAAATCAATTTTCCATCCAACAATTTGTACACATTTTCTTTCATATCATTGATGGTATTCCCCACAATATCATATCAGTTATCTCACATCCACCTGTGTTCCCATTTGCATTTTTCCTCCTTTCTTTTAAAAAAAAATCATTTTATTGGAGGCTCATATAGCTCTTATCACAATCCATCCATCCATTGTGTTAAGCACGTTTGTACACATGTTGCCATCATC